AGACAACAACATGTATGCCCCGTTTCCAGCTCAGGTCTCTCCCTCGTCCACTCAGATACTTAACGGAACGTCCTATGGGCCAAATTCTGGCCTGGGCCGCTGAGGGGATGGACAGCTCAGTAAGACCTTAGTTCTACCCTGGAATGAGACATGTGACAAATGCCACTGAAGAACCTGCGGGAGTTTCAAAACTGAAGGCAGAAAGTCACCACTCTTCTCAGAATTCTACAATATTGTTCAGGCCAAAAAGCTGCCAACATTCCCTGCCACCCAGGACTTTTCTCTGTAGCATGTAAATCACACTGGACCTCAGGAAAGGACATAACTCCCATACTTCCCTGTATCCCAGAGCATCCCCCATATAGGAGGACACGTAATGTGACGGACCACATCTCACACCACATCAGGCTCTGAAGCCAGTGCACGAGGGGAAAACATCTATCACTAACACACCCTTGAAGATCCCTTATAACACCAGCAAAGTGTTCTTATGCAAACATATCCTCCTTCCCTCTCCCTCTCTGAGTCCTGTAGGGCCAGTTTTGACTTCAGTGTTGGAACAGATCGATTTTGTGTTTTTTTTTTTTTTTTTTTATTTTGAATTTTTAGTTCAGGATCCGATGAAGTAGTTCACATGTGTGCTGGGCACAGGGTCAATGAAAAACCCATATCTCTGAAGACCAAAGTCATCCCTGGTGGGTTGAGATACTCAAGCTTTTAAAAAAGGCAAATACAAAAGGGGACTTTTATTTCCCACACACTTGCATTGCAAACACACTGCAAGGCGTGTACGTGCTCACTGGTGAGAGTGGTGAGCTGAATCCCTTTCCTACTTAAACTACTTCTTTTACTTATTATTGTTGCTGTTGTTAAAATTTATTATTATTATTTACCAAGCATGCAGAGTTGAACATAAGTAAAATGTAGGCATGCTTTTTTTCCACTGTAAATTTTTAGCCACTAGCACAGACTAACTTAAGAGGAGATCTACCTGAATAATGCTAAGTGCACGTGGCTTTCCATAAATATTCCTTAATCGTTATACCTAACACCAACTATATGCCATACACCTGCATAAAGTGCTGGGGAAAACGAGAGTCAGCTACAAGCTCCAAAGTATAGCATGGGAGAAAAATATAAATAAAACCATTTCATTACCATGTAAGAGTTGGACACAATAGGCAGGATGGGCCTGGACAGGGCAGGGGAGGCTTAAGGAGATGACCTTCACCCCCAGGATGCTGCACAAGACCCTTCCTTCCCCCTTCCCTGATTCAAGTGTCACCTTCCTAGCAAGCCCCTCCCTGCATCCCCATTTAAAACTGTCAACCCCCATTCTGCCACACACTCCTCTGCCTCCTCTCTGCTTTTTCTGCCCTAGCACTCACCACTTTCTGACCACATCTCTTATTTATTTGACTTTTTGTCTTTCTCCTTCCATGAGAAGGCAGCTCTGTGAGGGCAGGGATTTCGTCTGTCTGTTCATCGCTGAATCTCAACCTTAGACCAGTGCCGAGCACATAGTAGGATTTGGTAAATACTCAGAAGCCTTCCTGGACCACATTAAAGGGCAACTGCCAGGGCTCTTCTTGTCCTCCTTGCTTTTCCTTGACAACATTTATCAAGAATCTGAAATCATCTTTTTAAAAAAATTTGTTACTTATTGTTCTTTTACTCCTCACTAGAATGGAAAACTTTGTAAGAGCGAGTTGTCTGCTTTATTTACTGCAGTGTCCCCAGCCCTTAAAACAGAGCCTGGCACTGCTCATTTATTCAATGAATTTCACTTGAGTGTGTGATCATCATCATCATCATGATCACAGCTCATAGTCACTGAGCACTCAGCATATGCCAGATGGTTTTATCTGCATTCTCTTTCCAAATCCTCACAACCTATGAGGTGGACACGGTTATGTTGTCTCTTTTTGTAGATGAAGAAACACAGACAGATAGTAATTTGCCCAAGATCTCAAACCTAACAAAGGGAAGAGCCAGCAAATAATTCCAAGCCATCCAACTTGAGCTTTGCTTTAATCACTGTTCCACTGCCGTGACACAATGCTGTTCACTCTGGGCTCCTGTAGTGGTCCCCCCCACCCCCCAACCACGGTCATCTGCCCTCTCTACACCACCCTCAGGCACCGCTAGGACATCCTCCACACTAAAGCCAGAATGACACTGTCAAATAGCAAAACTGATCACCTCACTCAGCTTTAAATCTCTTCACTGTCTGTCCACTGGTAGAGCACACATTTTGGGGTCCCTCCAGCAAAGTGATCAATATTTATAATAAACACTCTGGAAGATGACATTGCCATTTCCAGAAAAATTAGAGACTATGAAGAACATGATGGACGTGGGAGAAATGCTCTACCTTTGAGATAAGAAATAATGAGAAAAGGCTTATTTGATTATAACAAACTGGAGTTTATCAGTAGTTCCAGAAATATTTATGCAATATCTAATCAGAACCAGTAAGGTAGATGTGTTAAAATGGATATTTCTGGGCCCCACCCCACCCCATCCATTCAGAATCTCTAGGGATAGGGTCAGGAAATCTACATTTTTTATCTAGTAATCTGGGTACTCCTTTGACATTTGGGGACCTAAATCTTTTCAATTCTAACTTACAGGCAAGTACTTACATGTTGGGCAATATTATATAAACCATCAATGTCAAGACTAAGACCTAACCAGCTTTCTTTAATGACCAATGAGAACTCTCTTGTTCAACAATGTTATAGGACCCGTGGAGTCAAACCTGTCCTAACTCAAGTCACAGTTTTCAAAACTGTCCAATGCTTGAGTGCTTCATGCCACCTCACAGGAAGCCAAAACTACCACATCTGGTAAAATCAACTTACTTATGCCGGGTCAACAGTTTTATTATATGTTCATTCCAAACATTAGTGCATTTTTTCCCTTAAAATATAGCATCCTGCCAAGGCTACAAGATAGAGAAAAAAAAAGACGAAACAAAACAAAACCCACAAACCATGTCCTGCCCCTAGCATGTCAGTTGACTTCTGAGCTCATGCTAGGTGGGATTCAAAAGAAAACAAATCTATTCAAGTCTTTTACATTCCAACAGACCCCTAAAAAGGTTAGAGATGAGCTTTGTTAATGCGGGAGTTCAATGCTCATTCAACCACCATCCCAAGACCCTGGTATTTTACCAGGCTTCCCTGACATTATCAGAAGTGGTCTGAACATTATCAGATGTTCATCTCTGGATATGGGGTGCCATTTGCTCCTGAAGATGAGCAAAGAAGAAGGTCTCACCAGGTGAACTTCCCTGCCTCCAGCTGGGAAGGGTCCCCACTGCACAGATCAGCAACAGGATGGAGCACCAACATTAAATCTTTTGCTCAAGACTCCAACTGATTTTCCTTTCTTTTAACATATTTTCAAATGATTTAACTTGTGCAAATGACCCCCAAAATCTGTTTCCTCCACAAAATGTTAAAAACAAAACAAAACAAAAAAACCCTTGATCAAATAAAAGTCAAACAGTCCTGAGAGCTGCTTGGAAAGACATGGTGTTTAACCGTGGTGCCATAGCAATTTTCTAACCTAAGCCATGGTATGTAGTTTAACGATTTCCTTTGAAATTTCAGAAATATAAGTACTGATTTTTAGCTCTGATGTTCAAGTGCTTCTATATAAAAGAAAATGCTCTACCCTATATAACACAAGACAGAAATTAATGGTGCTTTAGAAACAATGACTGTGTAATGCAATCCAAAGAGGCCTACAGGCAAAACACATTTGTAGAAGAAAACAGCCAGAGAAATACATTTTTCAACATATTTCATAGGTATGAAGACAATTTTTCACTACCCATATTGAATTAGCAGTCCCATCACATATAAATAACCCTCTGCAGATGCTATGCAATCTAGGTAATAAATAGGATCTACCATTACATAAAATGAACAAAATAATCCCTGGTCAGATGTAATGCAACAGATTAAGGAGAAAGAAAAGTGAGATTATTCAAGGTCAGTAAAGATTACTTAGCACTCACTAGAGTGAAACAAATGAAAATAGGGAGAACAGTTCAAATTTTGAAGGTTTCCATCTTTCCAGACTGAATTTCAGTTTTCTAATTATAAATGAAAGCTTGGAAGTATAAAATCACTAGGTTATTTATTTCCAATGAAAGTTTCTAATTTCCTTACAAGTTCTTAGGATTTCAACTCTATATCAAGCCAAAGGGAAGACTGTTTTCTCCACCCCACCCAGATTCCAAAACTCCCCTGTGGACCCTCTCAGCCACGAAGCACACAATGACCCTCAACTCAAGACTCTCTTGAACATGCTGACAGAATCTGCCAATACATAGGGCAAGATCAGCAGGGGGAAGCAGCATTCCCTGGGATTTAGAAAGGCCCCACTGGTCCATGAGAATAGCTAAAGCTGTTTAAGATACCAAAACCAGTACTGCACTTAGACTCTAAATTCTTAAGCAAATGTGAAAGACAAAGAAAACAGGTATTAATACTAGCATAAAAATGTTTTTTAAATTTAGTGTTTATTTGTCAAATACCAACTCCTTTTTCTTTCATTCCTTTCTGTGTCTGATCTTTGGAAAAACCACATCAGTATCAAATGTCACTTAGTTCTTATTCAAACAGAGGAAAGCAGACACAGCGGCTGCACCCGTGACTTAGGTGACCTGGGCCCTCCGTAAAAACCAACCTCTATAAATCACCAGATGTAAGCAATTGGGTAGTGATCACTTTAATTAATTGAACAGTTTTCCTGAAATTTACTGTATAATTTTAACCCCCACGACACCTTTCCCAGAAGCAACCAACAATGGTGGGCTTTTCTTAACTTGTTTAAGGAAGGAAAACATTTTAACCTCGGTGGCTTAGATATATTTTTTAATTATTCAAGATTTAAGGTGGCAAGCTACTTAAATTTTAGAAATCAAATACTGCACATTCTAAATGCTACCCTTAAGTGCCGAAAGTCAAAATTATTCCAAAACATCTTCAATGCGTGACGATAAACATGTTATCTGTCCTAAAAATACAGAAAATTTAGAATTTTAATTTTATTTGAAAACTCATCTTTGCAAAACAACATGCAATGGTATTTATAACTTCAATCACATACCTAATTTTAACTGTATAAAGTTGGTATTTTTGATGTTTCTGAACCTCGGTTTTTACTACAGGTGCCACACTTAAAAGAGAATACTCCAGTGCCTTGTTACCAACTCCCACTTTCTCTCACAAAACAGCTCCAATCACCCTCCACTAGGAACTGTGTAATACCTAATCCACAGATCCCATGACAGCCACTGAGTAATAAGCAGAATTAGTCCTAGTCTTCAGGACATAATCAAACACGTCTCTATGAGGTGAAGGCAGTGTCTCTGAACCTGGGATACCAGTTCAGCAATGACAGCAACGTGGAAAGTGTGTTGTTACAATGCTACTTAAAATTTAGGAAAGAAAGAGGCTGGGGAACAAGTCAACCAATTTAAAAAACGCTTCTCCATTATCAACAGAAGGAAGTATTCATTTTTGCTTGTAAGACCTTTACTCCAGCCCATATGGAACTGCTACCCACGGTCCCTGCAAACATACATGCAAAATCCTGCTAACATTCACTTACAAGGACAGAAGTGTAATATTTGCTGAGACTGGTCCTAGATTTGGAATGGTCTCCAATTCATTGTTGTTCAGTTTCCTTTAAGCGCCAAAAAAAAAAAAAAAAAAAAAAGACAGAAAAAGGCTGATTAGGTCATCTGTAAATCAGAGGTGAAAACTTTATAAAGTTATTTAAAAATACCTCCTAAGTTAAAAGTTTTTAAATAATTTACTGTAATCCAAATGTTCTTTACGGTTAAGTAGCATATTTTATTCAAATCTCAAATAGAAAGTAAGACTCACACTTCTCGAAGATTTTGAAGGTGGCTCATGGAATTTGCCTTGATGAAAGACAATCTGTTGTGACTCAAGTCCCTATGAGAAAACAAAAGTCAAGTTGTAAGTAGTTTCCAAAAATCACTAATAGTGCTTAATGATGTGTAAGACAGAATGGGTTTATGAAATTCCTCTACGACACTAGTGACAATGTAAGAAATAATTGGTTCATCCTATCCCCAAACTAGATGGCAACTAAACTGCCAAAATCAAAAATACAAATTCTGAGGACAAAATTAGTTCAGGAGACTGGCAGATTCAAGGGCTTTAAGCCCACAGATTTTCAGGAGATGTGTTTTGGCACAGGGTGAACAGATCTCTTGTGAATGGGGCTGTTTTGCCTCACCCTCCCCATCCCCTACCATCTCCTCACTTCCAACCTGATATGATGAAGTCATGTCCTATGAAAAGTGGCTAATTAGGAAGGCTGCTGAAACTCAAACCTCTAAAGAAACCTTTTTATTATTATCATAAAATTAAGCATCAGTGTTCTTATTACAGGCAAACAAAATAGAAACTGCTCTTCACACATATTTGTTTCTCTGGGTTCAGGCACCAAATTACTTAAGGTATCATGGTGTGTGTATGTGTCGAGAGAGTCAAAAACAACAATTCTGCTTTCCTGAATTCCCCAAATCTCAGTATCAGATAATATAATGTATAATTTAAACCACATAAACCACCTACAAAGTAGGCTATCTAGGAACCTATGATCAGATTTCTTTGTAATCATTAAATAAATCTGCTTCTTACTCAGAGACTTCATCTAACTTAGTAACAATTTCCCTAAGACATCGTAATTTTTTTTAAAAAAAAAAGCAAAACAAAACTCCTACATATACAATATCCTAGACGAGGCCATCATCTTGGCATTTAAGACTCCACAATATTACAGAAAGCCTGGTAAATATTTGCTTACATTCCTTTCTGCGCGGACACACTGAGTGTGTGCCTGCCATGTGGTGAATTCAAAGTGAAATGACTAGAACAGCTACTGAAAAACAGACTTACAAACAGTATGGCTGAAAGCTCTCCCCCCCAAAGAGGTTCACCAACCCTTACCAAATGAATTCTCTCAGTGTTTAAAAATGAAGGTTTTTAACTTACCAGCGTTTTAGAGAACCAAACTGAATTGGCACAAAGCATGAACCAAACATGAAAGGCAGAAAAATCACACCCAGAGAAACAGTGTAACTTCATCTAGTCTATGAAGTTAACAATTAGAAACCAGGGATCCTTTCAGTCTTTGCATGTTTGTTTTGAGTATAAACCTGGATTTCTCTATTCCACACCCCCCCCCAAAAAAAAAATCTGCAAAGGTTTTATTTGAAACATGTTTGCCTAAAGACCTACCAGACAGTAACAGACATGAGTAGATTTGTTCTGGTAGAGTTATAACATGAAAAAAATCTGGCACAGTCTTTAAACTATAAAAATCCTGCAATTACAACCACCGCTGTGCATGCTCACCACGCTGGAGCCAGACACTTTCCCTCACAGCCCAGCTCACGTCCGTCTGGAGTTCATCAAGGAACCCGTGAGCCCAACAGCTCATGTTAGGATTCAAACAAAACCTGTGTGCTTTTAGCACCACAGACAGTCACAGATTTCCCACAGGGTTTCAAAAACAACCAGTGAAAAGAGTCCTTCACCTGGGAGGTTGCCTGAATCAACAGAAAGTCTCATTTGGATCCACTTAACTAAAGAACATTGAACAAGCAGAAAACTGCATCCCCTATTGTTTCAATGTTTAAAGGGAAAAGGGGAACAGATCTGGCATTTACATTTAATACAGGTGGTTTTCTTTTTAATTAGAAAAAAACGAAAACCACACTTCATTTTGAGGATTATTTCGTAGGGCAATCCTATGAGAAAAGAGAGGGTTTAACTTTTTTTTCCAACCAGTAATGGGATGAGATCTCCAACAAAAGACTTTTAAAATGGGAAACTGCCTTCTGAGAAATGTACACATGCTGGGGACCACTCATTTCTGATCCAGAAGTGGGAGCTGGCAACCTTAAATATTTTAGTTATTGCAACACACTTCCATTCCTGAGTTTTGTGTACTATTAAAACCACATTATATGTAGGAGAAAAAAAAATCACCTAAGTGACTTTTATTGCTAAATACTTAAAGCCATGAAACTTTTAATGTGTCTAAATTTAGATTTAATACAGTTTATGTTTCAGAAATGATTACTTTCCAGTTAAAGGATGTCACACTTTCCTAAATCTTCCCTATATTGTTTTTATGGCTAGACCACATTAAAAACAAATACAAGTCGTACAATGTCGGTATTTTCTTAAACCCATGAGAACGTTCAGTAAGAAAAGCAAATTCTTCATTTTCAGAGTTCCATTAATGAACATCTTCCCCAGGAAACCTTTTCAAAAAACTTTGTGTAGTGAGGTTAATAAATGGGATAAGTGGTAAGGCGGGGAGGTGTTAACTATTTACCTAGAACTCAGCTGGCCAAATGCTGGAAAATCAAACTCTACAAGGTAGAAAAAAAAGTCTCTCCTCCTGCACATTAGCAAGTGAATAAATATATGTGAAAATAATTAATTTATAACATTTAGTTCCAGCCACCATTTTGCTCCTTTTCGCATTTGGAAATCTGACTTCCATGTCAAATTTTAAAATGCAAATCCAGCACAGCTCCTTAATCAATCCCACTGGGGCCTGCAGAGCTGCTAATTCAGCAGAAATCTGGAAAGCTGAAAAACAAAAAGCCAGGCTGTAGCTGTTTTAAGACACTGATCCAAAGTGACTCATAAATCAGCCTGCTATGTTCAAGTTTTAGTCTGGAAAATATAGAAAAACAGCTGTGAAAACCATAAGGACCATGACCCCCCACCCCAGCCCCAATTCTGGTACCGACCACACGATTTATAACAGGCGAACGCTAAAGAAGGCTCAGCAGCAGAAAGTACCTTTCGGACTTTCGCCTCAGCCCAGTTCATACAAACATTTCTACGTGATAAGATAAATAATTCTGAAATTCCAGTGAGGTTTTAATACATTAAGCTCTCACTGGCAATTGAGCAACTTTTCCCTCTTTTGGCTAAGTAACATATTCCAACAAGCAACTCCTCTTTGGGTTCAGAGCTCTTTGTAAGCACAAACTCTAGATGTAAACTCAAGTCTGCCTTTAACGGCAGTTGTAAGCAAAGCTTCAAATAGTTACTGTTTTAAAAGCCACTTTCATCAAAGTATTACAAGTCACTTTTTGAAAAGAGAACCACATTATCATCTCACAGCTCAAACTATTCAATTTTTCACACATGAAATTAAGGCAATAAATTACAACTAAACAAGTGAAAAAAATACACACATAGAGAAATTTTTTTTTTTAAATTTGCAAATTCAACAAATGACACAAAAGATACAGTTTTCTTGAATGGTGCTCTCATAAATTAGTCCTAAGGCAAATGTTTACTACCTTAATTACCCAAGAAAAAGTTAGGATATGGGAAAGAACAATATGTATTTTTCTACTTATTTCTGAACTCTGAACAGTCTACCTAAACACTTTTATAATTATGTAAACTTTAAGAAACAGCTATCTTATGCCTCTTGTTCCAAACACCAAGTAACAGAGAATTAAAGCCCAATTCCACATGTTTTTCTGCTTCTTTCAAAGGTGGAGAGAGGAGACCTCTAGAGCTTTAGGCACAAACAAAAGAAACATTTACAATAAAGAATTTAGACCACATGGTTTGGTGACAACTACAAAGTTGGTTAAAAGTCACACAAGTACAAGAATGACAGAGCTGTCCAATGAGTGATCACAGTGGGGCTTCTGACAACAGACCTAGTGCTTATTTATACAAGTGGAACTTATTTTCACATATATTTAAGGAATGTGGACTTGTATTGAGACAATTTACTGCTGGCGGAAATGTAATTAAAGATTGTGCTAACCAAATAAACTGTAATTTGTTTTTAGTGTGCCACCAAATTATCTGCAAAACGAAATCCTAATTAGGTCAGCTACTTTTAAGACAATGTTTAAATAGGTATCAAAACCCTTTTGGTTTAACTCAACTTTTAATCAAGTTTTTTTTTTTTTTTAAGACATCCAAATTCACACACAAAATATATATTGTACACTGGCATGACCTAATAGGCTACTTGACAATGAGAAACTACTAATATAAGCTAAATTTGGTGAATCATTCAAGCATTTCTAAACACAGTCCAGGAAGAGCTATTCATTTTCTTTTTCTCATCTATTATTTACACATGTTCACCTCCAGTCATTCAAATGTTCAGTTCCATATGTTGTCAATAGAACCATTCACATTTCATGAATAAGGCAGCATGACCTCCACAAGAGGCAATTGAACAGAATTAGCCACAACTAATTGAAAGTCTTCCTGCTTCAGGTTAAAGCCCTTATCTCCTTCTTCAATTATAAAACAAAACCAAAAAACTACAATCGACATCCCATGATAAGAGATCAGAAAATCTAAAACTCTAATTCCACTTTTTTTTTATTAAACTAAGGTTTATTAACACAAAGAGTATGTTTTTGATGGCCAACCATCCCATAATTCACAAATAAAGATTTTGATTAGCACAATGATTTAAAAACACAATTTCTTAAACTATGGAACCAAACTTCCTACTACTATTAGTAGGATGTTAGGACAGTCTAGTAGAATTGTTTTAAGAATGTAGAATTTCCATTGCAATTCTGCTAGGCCCAAAGGTTAAGGATGGACCTCACTTTAATTTCTTTTAGACAAGATAACTTTTTTTTTTAAGAAACACAAGTTGTAATTGTTTACATTTTACAAAAGTCCGCCAATTTTAACAAAACTAGGGCTGGGAGAGAATAAGGAGACGACGTTTGGAAAGAATCAGCCTTTCTAACTAAACTACATTCTCTTCCTTGTTCTTCCACGCAGTTGGCAGTGATTCAGGTTTTCAGACTTCACAGCTAGCATCCAAAAACTTGCATAACAGCGCCCAGTCCTTCTAAACTGTTTGCTGAGAAGCTATAGAAATCACGCCCTTCGTTCTGAAACCTCTAGCTCCTTTCCTTCCACATCTACTGATTAGTTTCGCCAACTTCTTACTGGAACGAGGATGTGTTACAATTTGGTTGAGGCTTTCTGGAACTTCCTATAGCGACATTAAGCACAGGGGAGAGAACAATAAAACGGTGTCTACTATAGCTTGGACAGTGACGGACCTTTGTTGAGGGGCCTTCTCAAATGAAAGGAGCTCATTCAATTACTGGTTGGGAACAGGAAAGGGGGCCTGAACCAGTTAGAAACTGTAGTTGAGCCACAGGACCTTACACTCTGGGAGAACTGCGAACTCTTGTAACCCGCAGATTGCCACCTCTCCTGTCCCGCCCTCGCAGGGGCGCGCATTTGAATCCATTTGGCAGGCTCTGGGCTCAGGACTTTGACTCTACTCCTCCGAGTTGTCAGTGGCTCCCTTCCCTCGCCCACCTGCTGCCAGCGAGGGGCAAGCCCAGGGCCCACTGCGCGGCTCGCTAGGCACTAGGGTAGGGCGACTGAGGCCTCGACGTCTCCTTTTCCATCTCCACCGAGTGCCGCTTGAGGCCTGGGTCAGGAGTAACTGCCCCAGAAAAGGCAACCGCGCGCCCAGCGCCCCGGCCCCTCGCGAATCTCGAGCGGCTCCCCCTCCGCCCTCAAGAATACTTACAGGCGAGCGACCCAGGGCGGGAGCGACTCGGGAAGGCGCGCCAGCCGCTGGCGGCTGCAGTCCAGGAGGTCCCTGAGGCAGCGGCAGGGAGCGGGACACAGGCGCTCGGTGGCGACCCCGGAAGGCTGCCCCAACACCCCCGGGCCGCCGCGACCGCTGCCCTCAGCCGGGCCCAGGCGTCCCAGCACCGCACCCAGCAGCAGTCCCAGTGCCACCGACGGCGCGCGGAGCCTCGGTGCGCCCATCGCGCTCTTGCGGCCTCTCGCTCTGCCCGGCGCTCCGCAGCCGGCGCGCGCTGGCGGCCCGGCACAAACTTGCAGCCGAAGAGTGGCCGCCCGCGCTTGGAGCCGCGTGCGCGCGCCCTTCTCTTGCGCTTCTCGGCAAACTCCTTTCTTTTACGCCCAGCAGCTAAGCCCTTTCATGCCCCGGAGCAGCGAGAGGGAAACCAGAGAGGACCGCCAGCTGCGGCTGCCCTGCAGCCCGAGCGGCGTCGGCGCCCCGAACTCCCTCTCGCCCGCAAAGAAACTTTTTCGCCTCCTCCCTGCGTTAGTGCGCAAAGTCCCGGCGCGGTGGAGTCGGGAGGCGGGGCTTGCGGAGCTGCCGCGCGTCCATTGGCCGGCCGGGCCCCGTCGCCCCGAGTCCACGTGATAACAACAGGGCTCCAGACCCGGGCGGGAGCGCGGGAGAAAGTGGAGCTGAGATTGTAGGAAATTCGAAGTTATATTTTCCAGCCTCTCTGGCCAGCAGTCTCCACTACGTCCTGGGAAACATATATCAAATGGAGTTGAAGAGAAAAAGGGAATGTGCAAACAACTGAACAACTATTAGGCCAGCTTTCGGAGTTGGAGGTATTTTGGCGAACGTGAGGGGAGTAAAGTTAGCTCAGTTATCAGGAAAACTTTAAATTCCAAATTTTTTAAAAAATTGGAAATTATCCTACCATCCACAGATGAAACAGTGGTTTCAGTGAAAATACAGTTGTTCTAACATTAATATTGGTCGCTTTTTCCCGTATATATCGGCTCAAAAAATAAAAACAGTAAAATGTAAAAGTTTTTGGAAATGGTATATTGCGTTACAAATAGCCAGCCTTAGTGCACTGGATAGAGCTGGGGGAAATTATGGGAAATGACCTTCTAATAAGTTGTGATGGCAGTCATAGAGTGTATGCAATAGCTAGAAATAATAAAAATAGTCACAGTTATTTCAAGGCAAAATAAAAACTAGGACCTTTAAGGAAAAGATTAACATAGGCACCGTGGTCTACCTGGGCTTTGAGTGATGACAAATTATGATTGAGAACGCTACCAGGCTAGAAGTACTTGTCTACCTGCGTGGGGTCGGGGTGGGGGATGGATTCAGGCGTATGGGACTTCACCAATGAAGTCTGTGTTCTAACTTAACTCTTAAACTCCACAGTTCATCTGTGAACACCCTGCTCCTCTAGGTGAGGATATATACCCAGAGAAAGTAACTAACCTGTTGTGGTAAAAAGAGGAAGCTTATTTTAAAATTCAACCTCTGCAGTGATTGTTTCTTATGTTGTCTGCCAAAGCATTCCTTAGGGGCTGTTTAAACCTGTTCATTATTGAGGAGTGGAGATATTTTGTAGAGTGGAGACTTTAACTCCAATTCTAGTGCTTTTTAATTTCCACGGTAGCAAATCACGTGTAAAAGCCCACCCATTTTTGAGGGAGAGAAAAGATTCACTTTGAAGAAGAAGAACACTTTAGATAGGATATCCTATCCTCTTCCTTCCAGCTACCGTTGGTGTCAACTCCACCACTTTTTTTTTTGATGATGTACAACTAGGAAATATTTATAATGATGGCACCTTGGTTTTGAATGATCATTCTGCCTACTTGGAGTGGTCAAGAAATACCACAGTCATGCTATGGATTTTCCAGCTCAGTCTTCTCCATCTGTTTCATGTAAGGAAAGTCAGGCCTAGTGCATTGGAGTTTTTAAAAAGTATGCCATTATACACATGCCTTTATGTATAAGTGTGGTGACTTGCTAATTGACATATCACCCATATGACAGAGATAGTCAGAAATGGGCTACCATTTTGAGGACGTTTGGCTCAGTTTCTTTCCCCATTTTCCACTTCCTTTATTTCATTTTCTGTGAATTTTATTCACACCTATGTGCTGATATTTACCATATCCATATTTTTAGCCCACATCTTTCTCCTAAACTCTAGACATATATTCAACCACTCCCAAACTGGATATTCAAATATAACATGTCTAGAATTAAATTTCCTCACCCCTGAGCCTTACTCCTTTTCCTTGTGAGTTTCTTATTTCGAGGAATGATACCTCCCTCTATCCAGATGTCAACTACTCCAGAAACCTCATTCACCCTTAATATTTCCTCACTGTCACCATCACCTCTACATTCAATCAGTTAGCAAGTCCTAATGAAGCTAGCAACTAAATGTATATCTTCTCTCCATCTCCATAGATGCAATGCAAACTCAGACCACCATCAGCTCTTGCTTGGATTACTGCTACAGCCTCCTTCCTATCTGGCATTGCAGTCCTTTCTCCATAGTGCACTCAACATGATAAGCCAAAAGCTCAAATCTGAGCCTGTGACTCAAGCAAAGTTTAAATTCTCTAGCATAACATAGTCTTTGTATTTGGCTTCTACTCACCTCTTTAATTCATTTTATTTAATCATGTTCCTTTTATTCTAGGAACTACTGGCAATTCTTTTCTCATGCTGCCCTCATTGCCTTTGGCTCTCTTTCATCCCCAGGGACCTCTGTCTCTCTTCTGTCTGGTTGGTTTGCACTTCAACCTAAGCATTCCTCTTTTTGAAGAAGGCTTCCTTGAATCCTCTTTTAACTATCCCTCACACTTTCAGCACATCCACTATTCACTGGAACGTAATTGGCCATTTTACTCTGCTACTTCCTAGATAATGCTTAGAATTTCCATATAATCATGTTTCCTGTATATCCTTTAAGGATTTTAGCAGATTTGTGATGTTCATTAAGTTACTTAAAATTTCAGTACCTCAGTTTCTCCATCTGTAAATTGGGAATACAATAAAAAATTTAAATTTAAAAATCTGATTTCCATTATCAGTTCACTGGATTAGCTGTCACTCTATTCCTTCTGTAAGATTTATTGACTAATACCTACGAGTAGTTGAAATCTAGAGGCTATCAGCCCCTCCCCAGTACATCCTTCACATGTTTGCTCCTTCTAATAGGATGTTGATCCATAGTAGTTCCAGGCTTGTTTATATCTATAATTACACAAATGAATTAAATATTGTGTTAACCAAATGAATCTGAGTGCAACCAGAAAGTAGCTTTATTCCTTGTAATGAATAATGAATTTGATAGCTTAATGAAAGCTAATGATGAATGTGAAACTTGGGAAAGATTCTTAAAAGGTAATTACTAAAACACAGTGCTATCAGATTAGATATGGGCAAGACAGTTGAATAACTGGGGAGAAATTATAGATTAGGAGACTTCTTCACACAGATTGCTCTGCAAGCATCTCAAAATTCTTATTTCACTTCAAAGTAATTGTAAGTGGGAATCAATCAGCAAAGGATGTTTTATGGATGTGGCTTATGCTTGCTCAGAACTTCATATGGTCATTGAGGGAGCAAACTATGAAGACATGAAATGGTTTTAGCACACATTAAATATGGCTATTCTCCATCTCAATATGACCTCAACCATTCAGTCAATAGAAGGAGGAACTAGTTCTACATGGGAACTTTAAATCACTTTACTATTTTCCCAGACTTCTCAAACCCTTTATGAACCATAGGACAGAACTTCCATGGAGTGGCTACTGAATGAGCAGGTTTCTCACACCCCTGTGCAGCTTCTTTTGTATGTATGTAGACAGTAGGAATGGAGACAGAGTTCCAGGAATGATGGTCTGTAATAGAGGAGGAAAAGGAACATAAAAATCTTTTAATCTCCTCAAAATTATCAGTGAATAACAGTGATCCAGGAACAATTTTAATGTGTCATTGAATTCTCCGATCTTCTTATGAGGTAGTTTATCTGTGTACACACATACACACCCACACAAATATATTAGTATCAAATGTTGATTCTCTGTTCTTGTGGCTAATCTCTCATAAATAAGGATTTAGTGTGAAGGAGCCAGATTCATTTTGAGTGGAGGTCTTTTAACATTTGAATTAAAATGAGATCAAGTGCTGGATTTCTGTACTCCTTCAGAGGTTTACACTGGTTAACTGGGTAGTTGAAAATTGACTCTATTGGAAATGACCTAAATCACTTCAGACAGTTTCTCATTAATAACTTTGTCCTGGTGAATGGCAATTCCCATCCATTTTTAAAACAGCCTCCTATCGCCCATTTTGTGGTTAGTATAAGCCAGCCCCAGTTCTCTTTTCAGTTTTCCTGTTTTTTTTTTTTCTCCCTCTGGCAAGTGTGAGACTTTCTTATCTTGAGTGTTGGCAAGGGCAATGACTCACCGATAAAAAGTAATAGAGGTGCTAAGCTGTCAGTTTTAACATCCCAGGGCAAGAATGAAAGCTAAACACTCAGTACTTGCTTTATCATTACAATGAATGACACAGTTTGTGTAAGTGTGAACTGTGAAAAGGGAAAAGAGATAAGGGAAAGGAGGAAGAAAAGCACAAAAATCCCCAGATAATGGTGCCAAAAGCAAATGTTGCCATACTCTGTAACCTAACCATATCTTTTCACATTCATTAAGGCATTTTAGAAGAAATAGATAACCCGCCTTTCTCACAAAAAGTTCAATGCTTTACTTAGAGAACAGAGACTAGAATCTTACTTTATAAACGCCCTGCTATGAACATGTTCTAACTCTTTAGAAAATAGTTAGAAAAATGAAGATAACCACCCATCTGTGTCTCTCAAGTTGGCCAACTGTGTGATATTACTGTAATTGAAAACAATGTTATCTGAACATTCTATTCATTTAACCACAAATTACACATATGCTATCTTTTATTTTACCCATTTCTCAAGTCACCCACTAGGAATACGTGCTCTGAGGAGAATGCATATTGTGAACACAACTGGATACCCTAGAAATCACCTAGGTGGATCTGGGAGCCACTGGGAGCTGGGAGCCCTGAGGTGGGGTCGGAAAAGGGTGAAGGCTTAGGGCTCTGACCTCCTCCAGATTCTCCTCAGTAGTGTATCCTTCCCCAGCAAAAGATCCTTTCAATGGTCTCCAGTTTCTCCGTTCCTTTAAAGACTTCAGGGCAC